CCTGCTTATTGTTCCTTTAACCCCATTGTCTTCCCTGCATCCTTTCAGGTCATTCTCCATTCTTGGTTGGGTTCCATTCTTTGAAGCCCTCCTCACCTCAGGGAAGTAAAACAGACAGGCACCTTTTAAATGCTCCAAATTATGGGGCATTTTGCCCCCCGCCCAACAAACATTAGATAACAGATATCCAAAAACAGGAAACAGATGCAAAAAAAAAAAAAAAAAAAAAAATCAGCACCAGCCATACTTAACTCAGTTTTCCACAGCTATAAAATAGCATTATGAGATGGGCTTTTAAGCTATCCAGTTGCGGTTCAAAAAAATCCTTTACCAAACAAAATCTATCTACCTTTATGCACTAAACATCTCTTACCTATGTTTCTTAACTGAAGAGTTTTCTTGATCGTTGAAATCCTTGTATTGATGTAAGAGCATAAGTCTTCCATATTTAAAGAAGCCATATTTCTTCTTCTCTCTATAAAACCTATGGAGGGAAAAAAAAAACAACAACCCCATTTGGCATAGTTAAGAAAGTTGTATTATCAACACAAGTTGTCCATTTTTAAATTTGTTTTCGCCAAAATGAAAATTATTCAGGCCACAAGCAAAGAGAAACTGCACCTAGCTTTACTTGAAGCAATTAGAAAACAAGTATTTACTATTTGCTAAAGCAAACTGAAAACAGAGCAGGGAGCACACAGAGGTAAGGGCTAATATAGGAAAAACAACCTGCTGGAATTCAGCAAGGAGCATTTGTTTCTTTGTTTTATGATCAGATTTATGCAGCTGTACTGGCTCCCTCTGGCGGTTAACTGAAATATGAATGTTAAGCTTGTTTTGTTCTGTTTTTATTTTTAAGCTCATATACTATTGCTGTGGTTGGTTAAATATAATATACAGATCTGCCTAATGTCATGAACTTCATACCTGCACGTTTGGGAAGTTTATCTTACATTCCCACAAAACAAGTTATTTAGGGAAGATCAAAAAAATCTAGACTCCAATTCTACATTCCCAGTCAAAAAAAGTAGGAATTAAAATTGTGACCATGCTGAAGGGAAAAACCTTTAATAATGTGTTCAGAGTTTCAGAAATGAACAAGTGAAAGTCAGGACTCATTGGTCAATATTGAGTTCAATATTGAGTTCCTGAGAAAAGGAAGGATGGAAACAAGCAGAGTACAGACCCTGGACTTCAGAAAAGCAGACTAAGACTCGCTCAGGGAACTCATGGGCAGGATCCCTTGGGAAGCCAGTCTGAAGGGGAGAGGAGCCCAGCAGAGCTGAGTGTACTTTAAAGAAGCCTTACTGAGAGTGCAGGAACAAACCATCGCAATGTGCAGCAAGACTAGCAAGTATGGCAGATGACCAGCTTGGCTTAGCAGGGAACTCTTCAGCAAAGTCAGTCATAAAAAGGAAGCTTAAAGTGGAAACTTGGACAAATAACTAGGGAGGAGTATAAAAGCATTGCTCAGACATGCAGGGATGAAGTCAGGAAGGCCAAAGTGCAATTGGAGTTGCAGCTAGCAAGGGATGCGAAGGGTAACAAGAAGGGTTTCTACAAGTATGTTGGTAGCAACAGGCAGATCAGGGAAAGTGTGGGTCCCTTACTGAATGGGGGAGGCAACCTTGTGACAGAGGATGCAGAAAAGGCTGAAGTGCTCAATGCCGCCTTCTCCTCAGTCTTCACAGGCAAGGTCAGCTCCCAGACTACTGCACCAGGCAGCACAGTTTGGGGAGGAGGTGAGCAGCCAACAGTGGTGAAAGAACAGGTTAGGGATTACCTAGTAAAGCTGGACACATACAAGTCTGTAGGGCCAGACAGGATGCACCCGAGGGTGCTGAGGGAGGTGACTGATGAGATTGCAGAGCCACTGGCCATCATCTTTGAAAACTCATGGTGATCAGGAGAGGTCCCAGATGATTGGAAAAGGGCAAACATAGTGCCCATATTTAAGAAAGGGAAAAGGGAGGATCCAGGGAAATACAGACCAGTCAGCCTCACCTCAGTCCGTGGAAAATCATGGAGCAGATCCTCAAGGAAACCATTTCTAAGCACTTGGAGAAGATGACCAGTAACAGCCAGCATGGATTCACCAGGGGCAAGTCATGCCTGACCAACCTGATTGCCTTCTATGACAAGGTGACTGGCTCTGTGAATGCAGGGAGACCGATGGATGTGGTGTACCTTGACGTTTGCAAGGCTTTTGTTATGGTCTCCAACAACATTCTCACATGCAAGCTAAGGAAGTGCGGGCTGGATGAATGGACTGCAAGGTGAATAGAAAACTGGCTGGAGCATCAGGTTCAGAGGGGAGGAGTCAATGGCTCAATGTCTAGTTGGCAGCCGGTATCAAGTAGAGTACCCCAGGGGTTGGTCCTGGGGCTGGTTTTGTTCAATGTCTTCGTCAATGACCTGGAAGATGGGATGGAGTGCACCCTCAGCAAGGTGGCCGATGACTCCAAGCTGTGGGGAGTAGTAGCTATACTGGAGGGTAGGGCTAGGATTCAGAGTGACCTAGACAAATTGGAGGATTAGACAAAGAAATCTCACGAGGTTTAACAAGTACAAATGCAAAGCCCTGCACTGAGGATGGAGCAGTCCCATGCACCAGTACAGGCTGGGGGCTGACTGGCTGTGCAGCAGCTCTGCAGAAAAGGACCCAGGGGTTACAGTGGACAATACACTGAACACGAGCCAGCAGTGTGCCCTTATTGCAGAGGACTAACGGCATACTGGGCTGTATTGGTAGATGTGTTGCCAGCAGGCCAAAGGAAGTGATATTGCACGTAAAATTTCTCCAAATTTGCTCACATTTTTGTCATATTGAATGAAATAGTTTGAATGTTTGTAATGGTTGCCCATTAGCCAGTTTCAGGAAGAAGATAGGATTTATCTCCTTATCTAGGTCATTGTTTTGGACTACGTGTGGAAAATCTAGACTTTGCTTAAAGTTTCAGTGATATGGAAGTCTCCCCAAGAGTAATTTAAAATGCTCAACAAAAGAATCTGTTGAGTAAGATCCAAGCCCAAATTTGGGGGTAATGACAGGTTTGAGTAGGAGGAGCCCATTGATGGTAACTCACTCAATAAAAACTGTAACTTACTCTCCCAAATTGGAGGTGACTATACTTGCAGAACAACAAAGGAAGAATCGCAAGTGTAGGCCGGATCAGAGTGATCACCTGAACCATCCTCTCCGTGAATACGAATCTCTTAGTTCACGCTGAAGCTGCAGAGCGCCCGAAAGGGACTGAAAGAAGGGGACTTAGTCCTATCAGTATTGAGGCCAGCCCATTGAATCGTATTGCTGAGGCAAGCCCATTGAACCATACTACTGAGGCCAACCCATTAAATTGTACTACTGAGGAATGAAACCATATTTAGGTGTTTGGCTTCTCGGAATTCTAGGATTGTAAGTATATTATGAAAAATAATAGTATTGATTCAAATTTAACTTTTAGTTGTAATTGTAGTTGTTTTTGTAATACTAATTCTTATAGCATTGTTTGGGAAGGAAGTGCATTCGGAGCATTGTTTCTGATATATGTAATTATTGTGTTCTTAATGTTTGTGGTGTTTCTTAAAGCTAAGCAGTGTTATATACGTAGCAAAGAGTTTTAAAATAAAATTGTGTTGTATAAATTAAGTGTGTAATCATTGTGAAATCGTGCAGTCAACTAACTACTCCCCCAGCCAGTGCATCAAAACGAATCAGTAAATTGTGTGGGATTTTCTCTATTCCATAACCCACTAGAGACAATTTTTTAATCCACATATATTATAAATATTATCAAATTTGCATAAAGCTTTCCCCAAAAAAACAGTATCATGCAATGAAATTAAACATGAAACTTCAGATAGAGTAGGGTAAATTACATAAAAATGCTATGCTTCATCCAAACCCACACATGGCAGTGGTGACAGACACAGGATTAGCATTGTGGACTTCCTGGTTCATAGTCAGCCCACTCAATCACAGTGATCTATTCTGACAATACATGATTTAAAAGGAAAGAAGCTATTATCAAGGCATTTTCAGGGGCTCTCATGAAACTTTGAAAAACATATCTCCCCAAAACCAAAGACAGCCCAATTCTGTCAGTCTTCAGAACACAACACAAAGCTCATATTATTTATTCCCTAGGCCAGGGGTCGGCAGCCCCCGGCACACGTGCTGAGTATGGCACGCAAGGCCATTTTGCTCGGCACGCCACAACCAGCCCCAGCTCTGGGTAGCTGCTGTAAGACCTGCTGGGAGCAGCCCAGGCTCCAGCAGCTACCCACAGCCCAGGGTTGGCTGCGGCCAGCCACAGAGCCCAGGCTGGGGGGCAGGGGCTTTGGGTGAGGGGCAAGAGGCACAAGCAGGGCATCCTGCCATGTACCTCTTGCCCTCATTTTGTTTTTCTGGAATGCCGGCACTCCGGCACCTTCCAAGGTAGGCATTGTGGTGCTTTGCAGCACCCCTGCCCTAGGCATTCAGGCAAAGAATGGCATGTTGAGGACTGGGATTTGTCTTAGAAACCTGTTGACGTGCCTGGGATGTATTTTTGTTGCCTTTGTTTTGTTTTTCAAGAACATGCTAGATTCAATTTATTTGTAGATCAGCAGAATTTAAAAGCTACAGGGACTTGTAAACAACACTCAAAGGATTAAAACCCTACAGATATACTGAGAATAGAATAAAGCAGCTGCTTTACTTCTGTTATAAGCAACCATGTAAGTCGCACATCATTACCCATGTGAAACTAAATCGCTCTCAGCAAGTACTGCTAATTACACCTACAGTGTTTATTTCTATAAGACGTTTGCCATTTTATTAAAAATCCATAATTGTACGTTCATTCTTGCTGACACTGAATATGCAGTCAGACCTTGAATAGACACTTAACGTATGCTGATATATTCTGCCTCCAGTCCCATAGGCTCTTATCAGCCTTTCAAATTTCGCAGGTCAAATGGGGGCAACTTTTCACACACTTGCACAGCAATAAAACAAGTGATGCTTGTTACTCAAGGCTGGGACCGAATCAAGCAGTTTATTCAGACAAAGCTTACACTGAAGACATCTTGGGACCCTTAAAAGAAATTTATTTATCTTGCATATAATATGAAACCGAGTAAGATACACACACCTTGTTTTTGAAGGGCAGAATGAAGAAAGAGAGATCTTCGCTTAAAAATACTAGGATGAACAGTATTTTCCAAGGGAAAACATAGGGAGCTCCAGGGGAAGGGAGGTGCAAAGTATCATGGATAACATGTTAACCCCTTCACAGCATGACACCACAGTTGCTGCTAGTTCAATTGAACTGCCCAACCTCTCTTCTCAAGCCAGGGGAGGGGCAGCCAGCAGCACTTGCCAGATCAGTGGAGGGCCCGATCCTAGCCAGCAGCACTTATGGCATCAGCAGGAGCCTCTGTCCTGGCCACCCAGCCTTTGGCTCAGCTTCTGCTGAATCAGTAGCAGCTCCCGCAGCATAAGCCTCTGGGACCGGGGAGAAGAGAAAGTGCCCAAAGTCAGCAATTAGGGAACCCCCCAGGGCAGTGTTATTTCTTTCCCCAGAAGAATATTGGGCTGCAGAAGCTACTATTACCATATTTCCTCACTTAAAATGCACACCCCAATTTCTAGCAGCTGACTGTTGTAAAAAAGGTGCATGCTGTATGTAAGAAAGTAAAGTAAATCCTATGGAAAGTGATCCAAAGTAGTGAAGTCACTCTTTAAAGTAGGTATCCTTCCTCTTTCAGCCAGGTATTTCCCAAATTATTATGTCTCCTTATGAGTACAATTGATATCCCACTTGTAGGAAGGCAATATAGCTATACTGACAAATACATTAACATTTTTGACCCATTTAATTCATCTACTAAACTATTATTCATTTTATCTGCTCCTTTGGTCTCAACTCTAGTTAGGGTACAAGTGTTTCCTCAACATCAAGGGCATATCAATCATCAAGTGCAGTTATAAAGAACTTCAATTACAAAAATAATTTTAATCACATCATTCAGAACAAAAGGAAAACAAAGGGCCTTGTAATACAGTATAAAGAATAATTTTACACATAGAAAAGCTGATTAAGTATTCTCTTTTGACAGACTTCTGCTGCAGCAAAATGTGTATAAAACCAGAACACCATTCCCCAGAGCTTGTAACAATTCAGACAGTTCTCAGCTGCTATTTCAATTATTATTCTGTAATGGGAAAGCCAACACGTTTCAAAAAGTCACTAGAAGAAAGCCAAAAGAAAATAAAAGTGAAGGAAAAGATTGAATATAAAGTTATAAACTCCACATCCGTGTTCAAACTCCAAGCACTTGACAAACATTATTACCTAATCACAAGCTTCCTCAAAGTAGGTAGTCTTACTCTCACTGTACAGAAGGAAACACTAAATGAAGAAGAATTGAAAAGGTCAAAACTTCGAACTTGACCAAACTCATTGACCCATCTGGTTATGGCTTCCCACATCATGGAGTGCAGTCCTTTGTCCTTGGAAGCAGCCATATACCCAGACTCCTAAAATCTGTTCCCTCAAAACCCTCTCACACAGCAAGAAAACCAGAAATGCCAGGAACGCCCTGTAACATGCTACGATAAAAGAAGTGGAGATGTGGGCATTGTCAGTGCCCTCACACTGCAATGACAGGGAAGCAGTGAGTTAATAAATGTTCAGAAAGTGCCTCTATGCTACAGAAAACTAAAAAACCATGCACAGTCCCTGACAATTTGACTAACCTCATGTCAAAAGCTCCCATCTTTAGCTTCAGCTCTCCAGAGAAAGGTGAAAAAGATCCAGAAGCCAGTAACATTCATAAGGAAAAATCCGTCTTCATAGATTTCATAGACGTTAGGGCTGGAAGGGACCTTGAAGATCATCAAGTCCAGCCCCCTGCCCCAGGGGCAGGAAGTCAGCTAGGGTCAAAGGATTCTTCCCTACAGCTGACCAGCAAACACCCTTAAACCAGGGATTGCCAGGCACCTACCACACTGCAAGTTACCCCTGTACTCCAACAAGGAGATAGCAAATACTTGCTTCCATATATCATACAAACCAATAGCTGGGCCAAGACCTCTTCTTCCCCTTTCACATTATCTCTTCCATAAACTTCCTGAGTTTGTCTTCAAAGTGATTCATGTCTTTTGCCCCCAATACTTGGGCTCAGAAGACCATTCCAAAAAATTTACTCTGGAAATTAGAAGAAAACTTCCAATTTGAATTTGTTCATGATCAGTTAGTAGTATTGTATCTAGCATTGGGAGTTTTTTAACCTAAAAAGCAACACGGGCTGTGTGTCCCCTCATCAATACAAACCACATTGTCACTGGACCCAATAACATGGATAACAACAACATCCGAGATGAATTCACCTGCATTTCTGCCACCATCACATATGCCACCACCTGCTTACAGTGCCCCTCTGTTGTCTATGTTGAACAGATGGGGCGATCCCCATGTGTAAGAATAAATGCAACACCTGTTCCAGAGAGACACAAGCCAGTGGCAGAACACATTAACCTCCCTCCATGACCTCAGAGTAGCTGTTCTTAGACAACAAAATATTTTAAAAAATACAAAAATTGAACATAAAATTGTGGAGCAAGAAATGACTCACCAACTGGACTGTTAAGCATGGTCTAAACAGGACTTACAGACTCTTATTCCATTACCTACATTAGCTTTTGTGACCCTTTTGTCCCTATGGCATTGTTGCATGTTTGCCTCTCCCAGCACATCTCCTCCTCCCCATTTTTTGTATTCAAATCACTCTCCGATAGACTTCCCAGACACGTCCTTTCACAGCGTTTAATGAAGTGAGATCGGGTGGTAAAAACTTATGCATCTGATTTAGCTGAAGTATCTGTCTACCCTGCTTTTGTCCTCCCTAATATTCACCTTGCAACCAAACTTATAAAAACTAATCACATCCTCCTGAGTTTCCATTTTGCTGAGCTGAAGAAGCCAAGCCCATTCGATTTTCTTATTTATAGAAAGGTCTCCACTCCCGTAACCAAATAGCAGCTCTTCTTTGTACCTGTTCCAGTTTAACTTAATCTTTCTTGAACAGTGGTAACCAGAAATATATTCTGTACCCACGGGGGGTCTGATCAGGGCCTTGTAACAGGGAGCCCCAGCCCTGCTCCCGCCAGCAGAAGAAGCAGAGCAGCATCCCTGGGGGAATCGGACACCCACAGCCCAACGGCCCGGGCTGTGGATCAGCCACAAAACCCAAACCCCTAACAAGGTAGAGCAGCCCAGTGGGCTACAGCAGAAATGAGCAGCCTGAATATTGGGCTGAGAGCCCCTTGCAGGGGTGGGGATTGCTTTGCTCTTGCACAGGGTAGATGTCCCCGGCTGTCTGAGTAGCCCCGCCCCTTGACAAGTGCCCCGCCCCCAGGTCGCCATCTTGGGACCAGAAATCCCACCCCCTGGGGGGGATGTGGGGGGCGAGATGTGGGGTATGTGCGTGGGAGCTCCCCAAACATGCTCCCCCCGCCATTGCACACCCCCCAGCAGGCGGGCACTCCGGCGGGACGCGGACCCGGAGCCCCCAGCCCGGCCTGGCCCCCACCCGCGCCACCGCCCCCCGCCGTTTCGAACCTCCCGCGCGCAGCTGTCAACTAACGCGAGAGCCGGCGCGTCCCGTCCCGTCCCGTCCCTGCTGCGCATGCGCAGCGCCGGGAGCTGAAGCCAGCGTCTCGCGCTGACGTCAGCGGCAGAGCAGGGCGAAAGGGGGCGGGGCAACGAGGGACGCACGTGTCCTGCCCCACCCTAGTCCCAAGGAGGGGGGAGCTGGGCCTTGCTGCTCTGGGCTCGGCCCTGCGCCCCCCACGGCGCAGGGAGGCGCTGCCTGGGCCAGGGGCAGCCCTCACAGCAGCAGACAGGCGTTTTCAGGCAGGGGGGCTCTGACTTTTGGCCCTACAGGCCAGGTTCAGGCCCACCTCCCCATGCTATGCTCAAGGCCTGGGTCCTGTGCTCTCCCTTGCTGCAGGGGCACTGGTGCACGGGGCTGCCCCCAGGTCTCCCATGTGACAGTAGGGCAGCGGTGCCACCGCTCCCCTAATGCCAAATCTTCAGCCCCATGAGTCGAATAACCCTGAATGGGGCCTGCCTGCCAGCCAGGGGGCAAGCGCCGAAACAGCCTCGGTGGTGGAAACGCTAGGGCGCGCGTGGAGGGAGCCACAACTTCAGTTGAGAAGAAAACATTTCACATCACACAGCTGCCGGCAAAGCCCGGCGTATCAGCCCGTGGTACTCGATACCCCCCACACAGCGCAACTCTCAACACCGCAGGGTCAGGCGTCCTCCTTGCACTCTGTGGTACTCTAGAGTCTGGTTCGCTTTTCTGGTTTTATTGCTTTTAACACCCTTATTCAAGTTTAAAACCCGCATGCAGATTTTTTGAATAGGGTTGAAGGCACATTAAACACGGGTAAATAAAACTCGAGGTAGCAAGTAGCAGAACGAATCATTCTGAGCAATGGGACTGACCGCGATCGGCAACAGCAGTAGACAATATGGATTTTTTTAAGAATAAAACATACCAAACCAACTTGTTTTTTTCCTTTGAGAGTATAACCAGGCTGATGGACGAGGGGTGTGGTATAGTATGGATGCAACATACCTGGACTGTAGTAAAGCTTTTGGCACAGTCCCATGACACTCATAAGCAAACTAGTCAAACCTGAGCCGACTAGAAGGTCAGGTGGATACAGAAGGGCTGCGTCTACACCAGACGCTGACAGCGCAGTCGTTTAGTACTTGCATAAACAAGTACTAAGTGACTGTGCAATAACCAGAGCTACTGCACAGTAGCATTGCTGAATGGCTTTTAGGTGACAATGTGCAATAGCATTGCATCACACTTTGTGCCAAGTGACACTATTGCACAGGAGTAACGAGCTACTGCACAATCAGTGTTTCACATTAGACGCGGCAAAGGGCAAACAAAGAGTAACAAGGAATCGAGGCCAGAAAGGCATTAGGTTTTGAGTCAGGTTCCCTGGAAGTCTCTCTCAGTCTGGCGTTGTTTAACATTTTTAGGAATAATGTGGATGCCAGAGTGAAGATCTTATTGATCAAGGATGAAGATGACAAAACACTTGCAAACACAGTCTCAAAACTCAAAAGGATTTTGAAATGTTAGAAAAATACACCAACACAATTAAAGTCAATACAGACACACATAAGTTGCTACATCCAATTAAGAAGAAACAATTGTACACTACTGCCGGCTTCGCCATTCTTAAGCAGCCAAGGCCAAGCTGCAGAAGTGTGGCTAAAGCACAAAGCCCATTTCTGAGTGACCAAAGATTGAACCTTTGCAGTTGTGACAGCCACCTTGGTCAGCAAAGTAAAGGGCAGCAATCAACATGTCCAGCTAAACCAGGAATGAGATCAAACTGAGCAGAGCAGAGAGCTGGGCCTAAAAGGAAACTGGATAAAAGAAGGCCTTAAAATAGATCATCCACATATCATCACTTTCACTTTAAAGAATTATAGTAGTGATTAATGTAACCAAATACATTAGACAGTTTTATTATAACACATATTTGTATTTGGTTTCTTAGGTAAGTTATAGAAGGCAAAGCAGCCTCATCAGTGAAGACCGTAACTAAGGGGAAAAGAAAACAGGAGGTGGCAAGCAGCATTCCACAACTGACACCTTCCAAGTCCACAAGAGAACTGGCTCGGTCCGACTCCAAAAGTTTCAGTAAAATAAATCTGAATAAAATCAATCCAAGAATGTTTATTAGAATAAGCCATCTATAAAATATAGGGGATAGACTAGAGGGAGATGTAAAGAACTCTGAATTCAAGACCTGCTGCCAGTCCCCACCTACCTTCACTCTTCCCAGTCTCTACATGTAAGAAGCTATATTGTGCTGGTACAGATATCCAGCACTTTGGGATAGACTTTGGAATACATGTTTATTTTATTTTTTGGAGTACAAGCAGGCTATAGGCCTGCCTCTTACCATTTTTATCAGTAGCCTCTTTACCTGTAATCTTGAACACATACAGAATAGGAGATAACTAGGTTGGTAATAGCAGTTGAGAAAGATATGGGGGTTATGGTAAACCACGAACTCGACATGAATCAGGAATGTCATGCTGTTGGGAGGTGGGGGGAGGAGGGCAGAAAAACAATAATCAATTTGCCACCCCTCTTCCCCCTGAACACCCCCCCCGCAATCAACAAATGCAATTTTGGGCTGTATTAACAGAAGTATTGAATGTAAGATGTGGAGAGTGATAATACCACTCTACTAGCTGCTGGTTAGAGGTCAGGTGCAGTACTGCATGCAGGTCTGATATATAAAGAACAAGGGTATAAAGAAACTGGAGGGATCCAGAGAGACGAGCAACAACGATGATAAAGGGGTTGGGAAGCAAGACTTGAGGAAAAGCTGAGAGAACAAGTCTATTTAGTCTGGAGAAAAGGAGATTAAGGAGATGCATGGTAGCAGTTTTCAAACCTATGAAAGTGCCAGAAGAGAGAGAGAGAGAATAACCATTCTCCGTTGTCACAGAAAGTAAGACACAAGCCACCAGGTTTTAACAGCAGCAAAGCAGATTTAAAACAGCAGGATGATGGAACAAGCTGCCTAGGGAAGTAGTGGTTAATTGGAGGTTTTCAAGAAAAGGGTGGGGAGACACTTCCTTGGGAAGATTCAGGAACAGTGCATCTTGCATCTGTGCAACGGGTTGGACGAGAAGTCCCTAGAGGTCTCCTCCAGCCCTATAATTCTGATTCTCTCAGAGGAAAGCAGGTTACCACATACATATCCAGATGACATGAACTGTTTGTTACATTTCTTAGAACTTTTTTGGGCCCAAGCTGAAAGAATCCAATCAATGAGAGCACTTATAAGGATCGTGTATGCTTGTGTGCCAACGTATGGCAACAGCTTTGAGAAGCAGGAGAGCACTCTGCCTCACTACCAGTTTTCACCCCTTAGGGTTGTGGTTTCGTATAGCTGCTATGGGCCAAAACACCCAGAGACAAGAGGCTGGCAACCTATGACCCTTGGGCTAAATCCAGCCCTTAGAACCATTGAATCCAGCCTGCAGATTTGGGGGTGGGGTAGTGTTCAGCACCTACTCATGAGCCTGCAGCCCAAGCTAGGTTATTCCAGCCCATAGCTTGAAAACATTGCTGAACACTGCCCTAGATTGGTTGTCAACTGGAGGTATGAATACCCCTAGGGGTACTTAAAAAGGCTGTAGGGGGTGCGCAGAACTGATGTGGCTGATAATGTGGCTGATAAATGCCACATGCATATGTGCAGCCGCAGCACAGCATGCAGTTGACCAGGAGCGCAGCCCAGCAGCATGGAGTCCAGCCGGGTCCAGCTGCTCAAGTCTGTTGTGAGGGAAGAAGTTGGGGGGGTGCTGAGGCAGGGGTAGGGGCAGCTCAGCTGAGGCAGAGCATGGGACAGCTGTTGGGGGGGGGAGCTCCCACCACTACCTGCACCCCTGAGAGGGCATGGGGGGGCATTTACCCCCAGATCTGCTCATGGTGCAAGGGTGGGCTGCTGCTGCGGGCTGAGGCAGCACCGGGCTGTTCTGGCGGGGGTGTTGGACCGAATCGATCTCAGGGTGGGCAGCAGTGACACAGAGGGGTGTTGGGGGGATATGGCGAATTCTAGAGTGGCTGCAGCCCCTCCCATAGCCCCCTCTCAGCACTGCCTGCCCCGAGCTCAGCCCAGCCCAGCCCCAGCCGGGAAGAGCCCGGCACAGCCCCAGCCCGCAGTGGCAGTCTGCCCTGCCCCACATACAGATCTGGGGGCACACCCCCCTCATGCCCTCCTGGGGTGCATGCAGCAGCAGGAGCCGCTCCCCCCTCCCCATGCCCCCTGGATGAGCCACGTACAGCTCTGTCCCACGCTCCACCCTGGCTGTACAGCACCTCCCCTGCCCCAGTCCCAGCCCTGCTCCCTCCCTCACTGTTGGGGCCTCAATCTGCACCCTGCCCCTTTGCCCCTTAAAAACAAGAAAAAATATAAAGGGGTACATGAGCTGAAGCTTTGAGACAGGAGGGGTACACTGTTTTAAAAAGGTTGAAAACCCCTTCCCTAGACAATGGCCTTTTTCAATGCAAGGGATCATTAGGGCACTGCTTATGAAAACAGTTCAAAGACTAGAGCTCTGACAAAACCAGGTTAAAAAAAAAATGTCCCTGTGATCTTCACTGAATAAGGGACTGCTTTCAAATGGCCCATTGTTCCCTGGAGGCTCTGTTGTTGTCACCAGAGCAGAACCATAAAAGAAAAAAGAAAAAAAAAGGCACTTATCTGGCTTTCAGATCACCATACTTGAAAAACAGAAATAACACGTTAGAAACTCAAAATAACTGCACCTAACAAAAATATTGTACATCACATCATTTAGGAATATGCAGCTATAAATAGTAAATTCCTCCTTAAATAGGATCGTATTGCAGTATGTAGTAAATGTGATTATTTCACTTGTTATCACCCTTGCACTCTAATACCTCAGTTAAAATTTGCTTCAGGATCACTGTCCTTTGTTGCTGCAGTCACATGTGTAACATACTTCTGAGCAAATCCACCTGCATGGAAACCACAAGAAGGACCACTGAAGGTTGTCCAATGGTGGAAAAATGATTAAACGTTTCTCACATGCAAGCCCCCCTTAGATCTTTCTGAACCATCATACATTTTGGCCCCCTTTACCAGGGTTGAATTGACCATACAAATGCAAAAACTATCGAACATCTGGCACCGCTGCCTTATTTCATGTAACTGGGGAGGTAGGAAGTGGATCCCCCCTACTACCAATATGCCTCATCCTCAGAATTACTCCCTATAGCTCAGGGGTGGGCAAAATGCAGCCCACGGGCTGGATGCGGCCCGCCAGGCCATTTTATCTAGCCCGCAGGGCCCCCCCAACATTTAGAAAAATAATATTTATCTGCCCCTGGCTGCCTGTCATGTGGTCCTCAATGGCTTGCCAAAACTCAGTAAGAGGCCCTCCACCCAGAATAACTGCCTGCCCCTGCTATAGCTGCTCCATGAGACTCATGGGCTCCCTTCCCTCCACTGCTTGCTGACTGGGGTAGGAATTCAAATCTCTGGAAGCTGCTATGCACAACTGGATCCCTGTAACTTCTCCATTAATACATCTTACTGTCTTAGTACTCCTCAAGCTGTTACTCTTATTAGAAATGTCCTGGCTTGCATCTGATTTTAAATAATTAAAAAAAAAAAAAAAAACAAGACACAAAATGTAGTAATCAACAGCATTTATTAAGTGGTTAAAATATATATATTCCAAAAGGTTTGTTCTGGCTGTAAAACAGAAGACCCTCAATAAAGGAGCAATTTAATGAAGTTGTTCTCAACACACACACACACACACACACACACACATACCCCTCTACCCCACCCAACCACTCCGAACAGGTATGCGTCCCACAGCCCCTTTTTTAACCACCAATTCTTTTTACCATCTCTTGAAAAAAAAGTAGACAAATATCACACATTCACCCTGGAGTCCTTGACTACATGGCTTTAGAAATATGCACTCTGTCATATCACAAATGCCTACTTCTCTGAAAAATTCTTGCAGCTTCTTATCAAATGTTCTATATTATCCAAGTCTCCCTTCCCTGACCCTGACAAAAAAAAGAATAAATTTAAGGCTGACATATAAAGTTGTTGAGATATTTTTGTAACTGTATGCAATCCAAAAACGTGACTACATTCACCAGCTGTTCAGGGAAACAGGCCAATGGGTCATAAATTTGCCAGCATAACTTGTCGAAAGTGCTCGATAACCCATATATTCATGTAATCTGCTGGCATAAAGAATGGTCAAAACCTGTACACACCTGGGGAAGCCTACACTAAACATCACTTCCACAAGGCCATGCCTTTAAATGACTACTTTAATTTGCCCCAGGGTTTCCAGGGCGGCAAGGTTAGGTTTACTAATTAATTTAAATGGTCCCAATGACTTCAAATAGCAGTCAGATATAGAACATTGATAAAAAAAATAATTGTTTCCAACTTTGTATTAACACAGGGGAAAATTAAATGCCTCATCTGCTAAAAGTGTATTCATTTCAAATTAAAAGAACTAAAGGCTGGTCTGTGCCCTGCGGTTCAAATCCAGAGTTCCCCAGTGTTTGGGAATATTCACATTGGAGGGACTGGTTCAGCCCATTGCTGGGGACAAAAGACAGGATTTTCATTTTGCTCAGAGCTCAAGATATGGTTCTGACATCTTTAAAAACCACCTGGTTGGAGAGTATGACTAAAAATAGGAGAAGAAATAAAAGAAGTGTACCATATGCAGGAATATGTACTCTAAATGCCAGAATTGCTTATAAGAAGTAATATTCAGACCTTCCACACAAATTTCTTTTGCTGCCTAAACATTTGTCATGGGAATGATTATTTCATTATTCCCATTGATAAAATGTAGGCCATACTGTGCCTGCATTTTCAATCATTGCATAATGATTTAAAATGCTCTTTCCTATGTATGTTTCAGGTTATGAATAGGACTGACGAATGGACAGAATTGCAGAAATCGATTTCTTTTGGGATTCTATTACACCATCTGCTGTTTTTTTCAGGGAATATCACTCATCTAGGTCTGAGAGAGTCCTACAGGGAGTTGAGGTAAATGAAATCAGAGTAAATTACCAAGGGGGACAGTGCATCAAAGCTCTCATTTTTCACAATACACTTAAGAAGCCGGTCTAAATTGAACACAAATGTTCTTTCTGTTCAGGTAAATAAAATACAGTATGTTACAAAAGGGTCGTACAATGAATGTTCTTTAGGGACACCTATACAAATCCTTTTTTTTTTTTTTTTTATCATCAAGGAACAGATGAAAAATAATCTTTCTGTCTTCTTATCACGCAAACACCCCCGAATACAAGGGCTGGTAGCCACTGTCCTCCCTCTTGCATGTGAGCACACAGACACTCATCATTCCAAAGAACTGCAAAGGAAAAACACGGATCTTTAGCTTTGCTTTACCTTAGCTGTACCCTTTTGTGTTTGAATCTAATGTGGCATCTAAGCCTGAATTAGGTTTTAATCTTTCTGGCATGGACACTGACTCCCACACATTTCTAAAGAACTAATATACGGGAAGTTCCTATTTAAATAACTATGGAAACTGAGGAGGGTTTTCCTGCTCAATTACTCATTCTGTACTAATTCCAAGGCAGCATCTCCTGTTGGCAGGACTGTGCTGGGTTTAGAATTACATCCATAATATTTCTAAGCATATAAAGAGATGCAATAAAAGATTAACCATAATATGCCAAGTCAGAAGAGAACAAGGGCTGGAAAGAATGAGCACAGTCAATAAAAGAAACAACAGATCATGAGAAGGTGAAATGTATCCGTGTACAGAGTAATAAAAGGAAATGGTGGAGGCCCCTTTACTGGAGTAATTTAAAACTAGCCTAGAAAAAAGCACTAAGACAGCGGTGCTCAACCTGCTGGCCCAACAGGCTGGACAAGTGGTGCAGAACCAGTCTATGGGCTAGATCTGGTGCACAGTGTCAGTCCACGGTAACCCCATGCACTGGATCAGGCTGTGCACACCAGCCTGAATCTGCACACTGCATCCAGCCTGCAGGGTTCCCCAAAAGTCTGGAAATTTGGCAGCAGGGGAGGTGTAATGAATGTTGCCACCCTGCTTTCAGACCTGTAGGGAGATCCATGGGTTGGATGACAGCCCCACAGGCTGGATCTGGCCTGTTGGCCAGAGGCTGAACCCCCCTGCACTAGGAGATATGCAGTATCTGATAAACTTGCTCCGACGGGGGCGGATTGGGAAAAGGAATTTTTAACATCATCGGATCAGACCCCAGTTCTACAATCCGATCGGCAAAGATGACCCTCGCTCCTGCACTAACCCCAGTTTAGGATGCAGGCATTCAATAGTAACAGCTTTTTCTTTGGTCCAACTTAGGAGACAATCATTTATAGCAAGGGTGTCAAACTTACGGCTCACAGGCCAGATCCAGCTCAGAGTGCCATATCATAGAGGGCCCAGAAGCTTGGGATGTGGTGAGCAGGGGCAGAACCATGCTACCAAAATCAGGGTACACATGTCCCCTGTTGCGGACATGTGTCAGCAGTGGTGTGAGCAACAGCTGTATTAACCCACTTGGCTGCCACTGGTGCACATCCCGCTACTCCAGATCCAGCCCAGGAGACAGGGTGAGTTTGACACCCTTGTTTTATAGAATACAGACATTTAAGGAGCAACTATTTTGCTGCCCCTGGGTTTGACACATCAGCCAAACTAGGCTGGGGAAGAAGATGCAACTAGCTCAGGAAAATTCTAAAGAAACAGTGATAAACTACTGGGTTAAAAACTCTGGGACCATATCTCCATGAACATGGAGATGGGTTTTGGATGTGCAAGCTTTTCAAAGTTTGATCCCAGGGTTTCAAAAATAGTTTTCACTTGTAAGGCAAATTTGGTTATTATTACATTACTTATTTGATTTTTGTTATATATTACTAACTCATTATTCTTTCAGGTTCTCAGGCAAGGGTCGTTTGTTTTTTAAATCCTAACGGAATTTAAAAACAAATTACTCAAGTTATGGAAAATATTTGTATTTTAAAAGCCATTTAACTCATTAAAAAAACCCCAACCTTTGCACTTGAGCGAATGCCTAAAACAATTCAGCCTTCCTAGGTCTGGACAGAACCATTCCTTATTGTGCCAACAGAGGAGCAAATTGTCCAAAAGAAAAGGAGAGAAGGGTGGAAATAGACATGCAGTGAATCCCAGCCCTGCTCCCTCCTCAGGTCTCTGTAAAAACCTTTTTCTATTCAAACTCCATGCAGCACATTTGTTTTGCCCCCATATTCCTGGGGTCTGGAATTAAAGAGCAAGTGTTCTCCACTCCCATGGAGAGTTCCTGCTAGAACATCTGTTTGTATTAACTTCCCTTATTCTCTTGGATCTACTACAAAACCACAAAAGGAGCAAGCAACTCACAACAAAATTACATACAGGCATAGGAGGAAGGGCCCAGAAAGCATCACAGGGGAGAAAAAGCCTCTATTTTCTGCAGGAATTAAGAACTACCCAACCTTAGAGCTAAATACCTTTATGATGGCAAATCCCAGGATTACAAGCATAACATAGCTGAGAACGCTCTGCAGCCCAAGTTCCACCTTCGGTGCACAGCCCTAGAAGGATGGAGAAGAGGTGTTACCTGATTTCACTGGTAATGTGATAACAAAAACTAATGAAATACAGTGGAGCAAGTTACACAGTCTCTGGAAGCAGGCAGGACCTTGTGTGGCTCTGCTGTAACCCACCTAGCCAAATGCAGAAGCCCGGCAGCCTCAACCAGAGCTAACACTTTCATATTGAGTGGCAGCAGGCCTCTGAATAGCCCTAATTACCATGTATACATTTCTGTTAGAAATGCACTGATATAATGGTCACTTTGAACTGGCACAGATAACAGGAAAATTAACATTATCAGTAATTGAGTTTTTTTGGCCGGGGTAGCCAATAATGTCACAATAAATACCAAGTGCATGGACACAGCCACAGCATGCACATGGCCAGGAGTGCAGCCCAGCAGCTTGGAGAGCAGCATCCAGCCAGGAAGTCTGTGGGGAGAAGGGCATGGAGGCAGATACAGACCCCCACAGTGAGGGAGGGAGTGGGGCAGCGCCAGGTGCTATCCAGCCAGGGTGTTGAATGCAACCCCGGGATCAGGGCAGAGCCACAGGCGGCTCTTCACCACCGCACGCACCCCCAGGGGAGGCATGGAGGACATGTGCCCTGCCCCGGACTCACGCATAGGGCAAGGGTGGGCTGCCTGCTGTGGACTTAGAGCCAGGGGCTGTGCCGGCTTCTTCAAGGTGGGGGGTGGGGCTGGGGGGGGGAAGTAGGTACGGTGAATTTTGGGGAGGCTACAACCTACCCTGTAGCTAACTCTCCCAGCACTGCTGCCACCCAACCCGAGCAAAGCCCCAGCCCGACCCCTCACTGGGAAGAGGCTGGCACAGCCCCTGGCCCCAAGCCCACAGTGGGAAGCCCACCCTCATCCCATGCACAAATCTGGGGGGCACGTGCCCCACATGCCTCCCCCGGGGGGGGGTGCGCAGCAGTGGGGAGCTGACTCCATGCCCCCCCAGATGAGCTGCCCGTGGCTCCATCCCACTCCCTGGGTCACATTTACCACCCTGGCTGGGCAGCACCTGCCCCTGCCTCACTCCCTCCCTCACCATGGGGGCCTCTATCTGCACCCCAACGTCCCTTCCCTTTCCGCACACCCCTTCCACACCACAGACTTATCGGTCAGAGCTGCTCTCCAAGCTTCTGGGCTGCATATCGGCTATCGGTTTGGTATCACCCAATAAGGCTGATTAAGAATCGGCCATCGGGACTGGCCATAAAAATCTTTATCAGTGCACCCCTAATTTCGATGAACCATAACTGGCACAAGTGACTGACTGCATGAAAGTGTTTGCTCCATACAGATCCTTGGGAACCACAGTGGTCTATCAGAAGGGAACATGAGGGTTTGTTGAATCCCACATGGTTTTTTTTCCTTGATTAAGTTGAATGAATGTCTTAAAAGAATTCTGGAATAAATTAGAGGCTGAAGACACATACTTGGTAGGGCTGTGCAAAGCTTCGGGTGCCAATTTGATTCAGAGGAGATTCAGCCCAATTCGGTGGCCGAATCTCCAAATCTGAATTGAATCAGGGGACCAATTAAAAGGTTTGAGTCAATTCAAAGCTCTCCGAATTGATTCGGAAAAGATTCGGAAAGCTTTGGCAATTTGGGCTGTCCCCACTCGCTGCAGCAAGGAGCTGGACCTGGACTCCATGCTGGTAAGTAGGGAGAAGGGGAGGGGGGCTGAAGGGAGGGGGACCATGGGGGGACCCCTGCCAGGCCCCATCCCCTGCCTGCTCCCCCAAGCACCCCCCATGGCTGCCCCACCTGCCCCAGCTCCCGGTTGTTTAAAAAAAGCCCCTACTCACTGGGTGCTGCTGGGCGTGGGAGGAGGGGGGCAATTCCCACTGTTCCCTCTGCGCTGCATGGGGGGCTCTGCCACGAGCCCCCTGACCCCTGCCCGCTCTCCCAGCCCCCCCATGGCTGCCCACCTGATGTCCCTCAGGCCCAGCTCGAGTTGCTTTCTGCAGCACCTGCGCCAACTTCATCCACCTTCCTTTGCCTGGCTCAGAGGACTCTAGAGAGCTGATAGGCAAAGAGGAGAGTTTCCCCATCTCAGTGTAATTAAATTCACCTCAGTATTGAGATCCTGTGGTTCACTCAGTTGTCCTGTGCAGTTCTTAATATCCTGTTTACAGCAGCTCACAGGAACGCTGTTATTACCAGTGCTATTAAACCATGGGGTGGTTGTCCAGTCAGAGTAGTTATTCACTCCACAACACTGAAACTGTGAAACAAGACATGATTAAATAAATGCAAACAGAGTGGAAGGTTGTACAGCTGAGGTCCTGCCTTTCTTTGAAATACTACAACGCTCTGAATATTGTAGTAGCATGGGAGCGCTCAACCTTTTTTCATTAATGATTACTGCGATAACTTATCCTTTTTCACGGAGCGCTAAAGAAAATCAAATAGGTATAATCGTCATCGCATCATTACTTATGTCTTTCAAAGTGATTCTTGATGCAATTGCAAGCGCTTTCGAGCCCTGTTTTTGGACTTGTTGGAGAGCACCTTATATGATCATGAGAGCTCCCGAGCACCAGGTGGAGAATGCCTGCACCAGCACTATTCTAAAGGCGTGAATGGACCATCAGTATCATCTTATTCAAATGAAAGTGGAGTACTCCTAACTCGCTCAAGTCAGAATTTACGGCATTCAGCCCATCACAGGCTAGGCCCATAGAGCATTTCTTCCTTCTGCTGTTGGTGTACCCCGAAAGATAGGAAGAAGGAACAGGGGAAGTTGCTTCAGTAGCACAAAAACTGTAGAGAACAAAAACAGGATCAGAAAGTCATCCTTATCCTTGGTCAGCACTATTGTGTGTGTGACTATAATTAGGATGGATTACAGATTTGTACGAAGACCTCCATCCTTCAGAAAGTTACCAGTAAAGAAAACAGATAACATTTCCGTAGTAAAAAAAAAAAAAAAAATCTCCTCACATGTATTCACTGTGAAGACATCCTGGTGAGAAGTGTCACTACAGAATGCTAAGACGGGTGGAAGGAATAAGAAGCAAAAGTTTAGTGATCACCATTTCAGGGCACACACGTCGAGCCTGATCCATTAAAATGAGTGGGAGTCTTTCCATATAATAAATGGATTCTTGGATCAGGGTCTCTGGCTGCAAGCTAGGAGCCTACTGGGTCACATCTATTTCCATACATGTGAACAAGAGTTCAGGGTGCTAAGTGTCCTGCAGACCTCAGTTTTGGATTAGCACCAGCTCAGTCTTTTCCCAAAGCTGAATTCATTGTTTAATATCTACTGGACATTTTAAAACAGTTTTCTGGAGCCCGAACATAACTCCTCCTACCTGTTCTTGCAGGTAATCCACAACATCAGCCTCTGCGCTTTTCCCATCATATTTCTGGAAGACTGCACGCATTGTGCTTTGCACATCTGTTTTGACCTGCCATGAAAAAAAACAGTGCAGGATGTGTGTAAAAATAACAGCTCAGAAACATCTCAGATGGAAACTCTGGGGAAATCCCCAGCAAGACCAACATAATGAAGTCAAGTACTGTTACTTTTGATAAAAGTCTTGCACTGCTTAACCTGATGGCACTCTTTGATAAAAACACTTCTCCTCTTTAAATAGAAGAGGGTTCTTAAAGCTGGGAGGAGATCTTGAGCCTAGGCATGACTTCAGCAAGCTCATTAGGAGTTTGCTCCAATTTCTATTCAGCACCACCTGGATCTTTTTTCTTCCTAACAAATCCTCAAAAGTACTTGGAGTTCAGTCCCACACTGTGCCTACCTAGGGACAACCCTAAGCTGAACTCATACTCTACCCTTTTATTCTGAAATAACAGAGAATAAGAGGTTAGTTGTGGAAAAGGGAGTAAAACATAACGTGTGCCCTTCCTTTATTCAATATTACAGTACATATGCTCATTTTTTAGCTTACCTTTTCTCTGTAAATGAATCCCAGGACAAAAGCAGAGACTTCTGCAACAAAGATAATCAAAATAATGACCAGAAACTGAAATCAAAGAGAAGAATAATCAGTAGAATGCCCAATGGTTTTAGATCAACTAAGTCAATGTAATGCATCTTTCAAGTCAGATAAAACATATTGTCATTATCCAGAGATACCTCTCCAGAGAAAAAGGACTCCAGAAACTGCTGTGGTACAATATTACATATGACCAGGGTAATGATCAACACCTCTTGAAATCCTAAAGACTCATTTGAATTAACAATCCCACCACATAAGAGGTGTGTCTATACTAAGAACAGGTGCAGACCATTGAACCTGTTGGGCCTCCCTGAAGAGTCCACCAAGACCAACAGTACTAACCTGATGTGACCACCCAGCCTCGAAGAGCAAGCTGGACCCCTGGCAGCAAAATCCTCAGTGCTAACCCCCCTACACCGTTTTCTGGAATGGGTTCATCCCTGTTTGTACCACACTACAATCATTTCAAACTCTCACTGTTGTTCATGTCTGTTGTGAACAGGTGTCACTCCTGCTGTGGATAATGCCAAACTGCCCTTGACTATCAATATGCAAAAAGGCTAGGGTCCTCTGCTTGCACGAACTGACAAAGCTTCATTGAAATCAAAACACCAGCTAAGGATTGGGCCCAGACCATGCATTGCTGAAGACCAGACTTGCCATGAGAACAGCTGATCAGCACCTATCTTCTCAATTGTCAGCTATATAAGAAAAGCACTAGGTGGAGAAGACGCAGCTAGCAACTGCGCTCCTCTACTTATCTGGTGCCAGAGAGCAGCAGACCTGGCTGAAGTGTGGGTCACAGCTACCTTTGTAACATTAACAGGCAGCTTTGCAAAGACACAAGGAGGAGCAGAGCAACGCGACAGGTTAGGAGGGCTGGTCTAACCTTGGCCACTGACAGGCTCACTTGGCTCTCAGCACTTTGGTCCCGCATGCCAGATCCTCTGGTGCTGGTGTATGAGACTTGTCAGATCCCCAAGCACATTGAACCAAAAATAGGAAAACTGAAAAGTTCAATCCCACCGCTGCTTCCCCCTAACCTGGCTCAGTGGTTCTGTTTGGGTAAAAAAGCTCATCAGACCCTGTCAGGGTAGTTATTCTTCATAGATTTCATAGACATTAGGGCTGGAAGGGACCTCGGAAGATCATCGTGTCCAGCCCCCTGCCCAAAGGGCAGGAAGTCAGCTGGGGTCATAGGATCCCAGCAAGATGAGCATCCAGTTTGCTCTTGAAGGTGTTCAATGTAGGTGCTTGAACCACCTCCGGTGGCAGGCTGTTCCAGACCTTGGGGGCTCGGACAGTAAAGAAATTCTTCCTTATGTCCAGCCTGAAACAATCTTGTAGTAGTCTATGACCATTCGACCTAGTCGTCATCCCTGGGGGCGCTCTGGTGAACAAACGTTCCCCCAGATACTGGTGGTCACCCCTGATAAACTTGTAGGTGGCCATCAGATCACCCCTGAGCCTGCGCTTTTTCAGGCTAAAGAGCCCCAGGGCTCTCAGCCTGTCATCGTAGGGTCTGCTTCCCTGACCTCTGATCACGCGCGTGGCTCTTCTCTGGACTCTCTCAAGCTTCTCCACATCCTTTTTGAATTGTGGAGTCCAAAACTGGACGCAGTACTCCAGCTGCGGCCTCACTAAGGCCGAGTACAAGGGGAGAATGACGTCCCGGGATTTGCTTGAGAAGCATCTATGGATGCAAGCCAGCGTTTTGGTCGCTTTACTAGCCGCAGCATCTCACTGCAGGCTCATTCTGACAGACAGTCACATGGTTTCATGTTAAGGCAGTTTTGCTTCTGCTTTTTAACAAAGACTCCACACGGCAAAATGAAGAAACTTTTTCACCAAACTCAGTCTGATAGATTTTGGTGGCAAGAGCCCACACTAGGTGTCTGGGAGGCCCTGTGATCCATGACAGTGAATTTTCACCCTGCCCAACAGTTCATTTAACCCGCTTCAGCAATACTGTGCAAGAGATCAGGGTGGAACATGCAATACTCACAAAACCCAGCCCAACACGGGACTCCCGGATGGTGGCACAACAGCCAATCAGTCCAATGATGAACATCACTACAGCAACACAAATGATGATCACAGCTGGCAGCAGAGCATACTTGTCCTGCAGGAAGTGGTCGTAATTCTTGTAGGTGTTAATGACATATGCCCCAACATAGCTAAGACCAGCTGCTGCCGCCTAAAATGCAAAAATATCCAAGGTTTATTTGTTAAACATCTTTTTAGGATAATAATGGAAAAAATGACCTGTTCACTGCAACACAAGTAAAATGCCAACTTAAGAAAAGCAGTGACCGTGATCTGCAGAGACCTGGAAAGAGGCAGAGATGTGAAAGTAGCAACTAAACCAAAGTAACATGCAACTCCATTCTGGTGTCTGCAGATGCAATTGCAAGGAGAAAGTCAGTGGGGCAGTGCACCAATCTGCCTGAAGAAAAAATCCTAACTTTCAGAAGATTCGCAGAAAAGTAGCAAGGTACACGAGAGCTTGCTCTTCCTTTTTTCCATCTTCCATAAAGACCTCTATATTTAAAGCAGGCGTCTATACAGCGCTCCTGGGACATGGTCAAATAGAATTAATAGGAATTGCAGTTGTTCGGCACCCCTAGATATTATTTCATCTCTGGCACAACTAGGGATTTTCAAATTAACAAATTAACTGAGGATCTTATCTAAATTAAACAAAAACATAATACAGATAATATTCTTGCTCTAAGGAACTGATTCCAGAGCAGCTATGGAGATGCTTTCCCCATGGCTTTTCACATAAAACACTCCCTTTTAAAGAGCTTTGCAAAAGAAAAAAAAATCTTGCCAAGTCCAACAAAACCTTTAAAAGAAGCAAGTAAAAGGAGTTGTATACTCACCAGCTCTGATCCTATTTTAAATTGCTATTCTACCATGCTGAAAGGATCAATGATGTTGGCAATAGTCATCTTACATTTACACAGCAGTTCCCTCACCCAAAGGCATCTGTCACCCACAAAAGCTTATGCCCTATGCCTTAGTTAGTCTCTAAGGTGCCATTCTACCCTGCCCCAGCCTCAGAGTTGCCTGATAATGCTGAGATGAAGACGACAAGTGCCCACAATTTCCATTAGAAACAAAGCTTCCCCTAAAGAAGTCAGTGGGAATTTTACTGTTGCTCTCATGGGAACAGGATCAGGCCCACTAAGCTCACTGGGAGCGCTCAGAGCCAGACAAGAAGCACTCTGCAGCTCCCAGAATTGGGCCCTTTAGACCGATACTGCTTTTACTGAGGTCCAAAAAATCCTTTTGTCACCAGCTCTACTGGGGAACAATGCTGCGCCTGAGCAAAGCTCATAGGCCATCTAAATAATGGGATCATTCAAATACCAACAAAAGGCAGCTTCTGCTGGGGTGAAACAGAGTTTAACAGTGCACATCAGTTACTAATATCTTTTTTCACGGGGCCACACAGCTTCTATTCAAGACTCCATATGTTGTAAAATACACTGCACTCACAGAAATTCATGTTTAAAGAGACAATTGCTATCACAGAGATGCTGTTAAGAAACAGCACTCTCATCCATTCCACTCCCAACAAGGATTTTCTTTTCTTTTCTGTGCACAAGTCCTAACTGGCTGCACACAATTTAACCACCACTGTTAACCACTGCGCATTACTTAGAGAACAGCCTTTTGCTTATAATTGCTCTATTATTTACCCTAGAAGAGCTTCACAGATCATCTCAGCCTTTTGCTGAAAAGGAAAAAGTCAATGCTTATGCAAGTTTTCAAACAGCTGAAGAAACCCTTCCCACGAATAACTTGCTCCAGGAAATTTGCATCAGTTCAAGCCAATGTACACTATAAACCCTTCAGCACAGCTGCAGTTAAAAGCCATCATCTCCACCACTCGCATCTATATGCGTGCAACTCTCCGAGCACATTCCCAAAGCAGGACTTCCGTTTCTAAAGGAAATGGGTTACTGCATCCTTTAAAATAAAATTGTTTGTAAATCATTTTTTACCATTTTGAAACTCACAGATTGAGCACTCATGAAAGATGCCAGATTAACACCCCTGAAAGCTGGAGTCCTTTAGCCACAGAATGGGAACAGCACTGAGAATAACATGAAAGTTTCTGCAGAATGTCCTACCCATGTCTTAGCATTGATGTGGAAAGGCCACCATAGCCCGTTTGGATTATGGTAACAGTTCAGTCTTTGCAGCCCAATCAAACCACTAGGGAGAATAACAATAAAGGTGTTGATGTTTCTGGTGTACTAATACCACTGACACAGAAACCAGAGTGGAAATGAGTACATGCATTTCATGTAGGCCATTCCAGGTTTGCAGCCTAAATGTGAAAGAATCTCCCCTGATCCATCTGGTCTCCTAATACTGTATTGTTTAATTAAAAGCAGTATACTTGATGTTTTCAGTGCTAAAACTGGTTGAGAATTTCTACTATTTTAGCTCCCTTTTAGTCCCACACCCATGCCTGACTCAGGCTTCTCAATTATATCCAGATGCAGGGAGCCATATTAAACCTAAAACTAGTTTCACCCCATGCAATTCTAGTGTTTTGTCTCACTGCTCAAGCCTCTAAACCACAGAGACCAATTACACTTGAATCAACTGGGACTGACTTAAGCCATATGCATATTAAGGACATTACTCCCACGTCATTCCAGGAGCCTTTTCCATGGAATATCAGGGAGAACTATCTGGAAGAGGAACGGCATTGCCAACTCAAACTCACACAATAAAGAGCCACAGAGTTCATCCTGGCAATCAACCACATCCTTTCACAGGTCTGCACGTCTAACACGTACCTCTGGATCCATTTGTGACAACCCCCTCCTCCCTCTTCATGAAATATCTACCATCCCAACATGACATTTGCAGAGGAAACCACCGAATTAAGATGTTGGAAGGGACCTCAAAGCTCATCTGGTCCAACCCCTTGCAGGAATAGGGTTGCTCAACTCTCCTGCGTTAAACCAGGAACTCAACCTCAGCAGAGCATCCATTTTGTGAGGAAGCAGGGATGAAGGTCAGGATTTGACCCCAGTTCACAGTGGGCATGACCAATGAAATGAGATGGATAGCGACATAGTTACTCCCGGAGTAGCTTTCAGCCCTTTCCTTTTGAACACAGCTCCTGACTTAAACAACACATTTGTTCACCGAGTATCCTCCAGTGAGGAGGACTGCAACTCCAGTGGTTAGAAAGTAACTTGGAAAAGGTGGCACACAATGAGAAATTACATTTGGGTGCACTTAAGGCTGGCTTCCGAGTTTTCAGGACCTGTGCACTTAAGTCTATGACTATGCTGCAGAAAACACATCTGAGCTGGCTTCAAACTAATCAGCTCAGGTACGGATAGCAATCCCGCCAGAGCAGCACTGAGCTCAACACAGGATAATTTACCGTGTTTGATCGGTACCTCGGCTTTCAGGCTAGCTCAGGTATCCCTAGAACAGACCAGAGCTGCTTCTGCAACTGCTCCGTAGGTGTATCCTAAACCCCCGTGAGATGGTGCCCATAAATCTTTTCTGTGACAATTCCCAAAGCCGTGTTGCGATTCCTCAGTTCATAACTGAGAAAAACACTTGGCTGACAGTCCCACAGAGATAAGGGCTGTAGCAATGACTGATATAATCTGGCCAACAGTAGGGTTCCCGCAGCCCTGACCTAAAAGTTTTCTTTTTTATGGCCTCTTGGTATTTGGCCTTGCTGCTGGTACCACCAGCAAGTTGCTGGTTAGTACAATTTGCGAGGGTAGTTTTGTGACATGGAGAGCTAAACTGGAATTAAACAGAGATCGCAATCTCATTTCACACACACCTGACACTACAAGGTCAGACTGGAGTCAATACCTAAAAAGGTCAAAAGCTCCCTGTTACGTTGCTAGTCTGACGACCAGGATGAATCCTTTTCCAAGGAGCTCTGAGAACCCCCCATCTAAAGCATACACCCACACAGGTTCAAATCCAGTCAAAGTCAGTATTATGCTACTCAATTTTTTTACTGCCCTGCTGACCGTTTAAAAGTGGGAACAGTTTTATGGCAACTTATGCCAAGTCTCAGGATTAAAATGTCTCCACTTCAAATCAACACCATTGCTAGCTCTACATGCCATCTCAGCCAAGAGGGGGAGAAACGAGTGCCTGCGAACCTTTGTCCTCAATGCTCACGAGACCAGGCCACCCTCTCGCTCAAGACGCGGTTCTTGGAGCAACCGAGCAGAAATGGCTTGAGGAATCAAAAAGCAATTGGGGGCAGACACATTAACTGAGCATTACAATATACATTGAACTGCCTGTTTCATTTTTGTGCCAGAAGAGTTAGGAGTAAAATCTTATATCAACAGCACGACAGAAATGAAGTGCAGTTGTATGACTTAATGCAGTTGAGTTAATCTGTGGTACTCCAAGGATTTAAAACCTTCTGTCATCGTATAATGGCCTTAGAGAGCCAAATGCTATAAATAGTCCTGTGCTTCTAGTGTAGGAGACAAAACAGCAGGACCAAATTCCTCCGCTTCATAAATTAGACTTTGCAAGAGATTCTTAACACATGGAAATGTCAATTCATCCCCCAAGACATCCATTACATTCCTCATTTCCTATTTGTTCTCGAGTCCCACATTGTCGACTGTACCGCAACAGAAAAAGATGGGCAAAACACATATGCTCTTGTACACACACCAGGAGTCCTGAAAACGTCTTAAATATTGTAAACCTTTAATTCTGAAAGCCACGCAGAACTTTGTTGATAATGTCTTTATGTTTCTGGTTGTGCCTAATTATGAATTCAGTGCTCAAAACATTTCCATTAATCTCTCAGCAGCAAGAGGAGGAACCAAGTTTAAATGAGGAAAGGTTAAAAGAACCGGGTTTATTGTAGGGGAGGGGGATCCTATGTAGATGTGTAGTTTTCTGCATTTCTAGAAGGCCTTCTAGTTTCAGCCTTTCCAAACATCAATGAATCCTATCAATATCGCAGCAAGACAGATACATTTTCTTCTACATTTCAGACCTGGGAAAACTGATTAACAGAAATATTAATGGACTTCCCAAGTCACATATTGGAAATGAAATCAATGGTTAAATCAAGAATGAAACTTCGGTGTCCCGTCTCCTAGGATTCTTGTCCCCATGCTAGACCACGCGCCTTAGGAGAAACGTTGTAAGTGATGAATGGGA